AATGCCTTGGAATTGAACTTTTTGAATTAAATAAAAATTGCCGGCTATCGCACAGTCTACCACACTTCTGTCAAGACCTCTGATGCTCATTCTCAGTGTAAGAACACAAGATGAGAATCACAAAGAATACAACCTTCACCTCAGATCAGCATTGCTCCCAACCCAGGGCCTCCTCAAGCTACAAACAGCAACTGATACTGATGGATGACAATATGCTGCCAATGAAAAAGTCTCTACCTCAAAACCACGAAGGTGTTTCTGCCCACCGGGTTCTTGGTTGGAGCTGCGCTCAGGCCACAGGGCACCTCCAATTCTTCACTCAGGTGGGCTTTTATCTCATCTGGAGTCATGCACAGGCTCAGGTCCCCAGCCAGAAACACAGCAGCCTCCGGGTCGACATGGTCAGGATTCACAAGCATCACTTTGTCCCCATAGTGAATAGAGCCATCTTCAGATACGGAAAGCTGCATCTGCCATTGAAATAGGAATTGTCCCTCAAATAAACCGATGCCGGGTGTGACGAGGCTTCTCCTATGTGTACCTCGTTTCCGTCTCAAGACTAGGATCCATTTCCATAAGGGATTTACTTGGATTCCCTCAAATCCTGGGTGCCTATCTTTTACTTTTGTCCCTGCCACTCTCCCTCCTACTTTGTCAAAGCAACCAATAAAACAGTTGCTGCCATGATAATTCCAACTCACGGCAACCCCATGTGAATCTGCCCCAGAGTCTCCAATGGACACGTCGTGGGGAACAGATCACCAGGCCTTTCTCCCGAAGGTCCTCTAGGTGGGCCCCAACCACCAACTTCTCAAGTGAGATAAAGCCCCCAGTCGTCTGAAGGGAAATAACATGAAGCTTCTGTAAATCATGAGTTACTTGGGTTCAGTTTACTGATCCAGCATCCGTGAACTAGGGGACCTTTTATTTATGGTCTTATTCATTCATTTACTTCTTTATTTAAAAGATACGGTAAACCTCATGTTAGTAGCCACCGCGTCTAGGTTTCTAAAACCTTGACATGTCTTGAATGCATGTGGCCTTCAGATTATTCTTAACTGCTACTTTCCCAAAGGTCACCCATCTAGGAGATGTCTGCTCACTTAGCATCGAATCACACTTCATTCGACAGAATTTTGAAACCCAGGTGTGGCTTTTGCCTTACCTGTCTCAAAAGATTCCCTTTTAGTTTTCTGTTTCTTTGTATGAGAAGCTTCCCCTTCTCTCTCTTCTCTAAGAAGTCTTTCATGAGCTCCTGGTTGGACAGAGAACGGGTGAAATCCGAAGGGTCAATAGTCACACTGAGTAACACAGGCGGTGGTGGTTGTATCCTAGTGGAATGGAACCCAAGGCCTTCAGTCACCATCTAAGTGTTTTTGTTTCATTGTAGAATGCTTTGGGAAATGAAGAAGGCAAGAAATCAAGCAAGGGAGGGTGGGCAAAAGGAGATAGAGAAAGAGGGGAGGGAAAGGGGAAGGGGAAGGAAATTGCCCGTGATTGCTCCAGCCAAAGGCAGTCAGGACTGAGTGCTGAAGGGCACCAGCCTCCAGCATGGACATCTTCCCTGGTGGAGTGATGTTTGACCCTAGAAAGTCCACCTGCCCAACCAGACAGAAGCAGACTGGACCGGGACCTTGTCAAGACAAGGCAATGAGTAGGATGTTAGTAAAGGGGGCGGAGGGGGAGGGGAGATGTTTGTACCTCAAAGGACTGAAGTGTCTGCCACTATAGGTCTCCAGGGAGCAGAAGAACTTCGTGGAACTCTAGACAAAGGGGAGGGAGCATCCCTGGGTAATGCAAATATTTCCACTTGGCTGCTCATCTAAAGAGAATCCACTAAGTGGGAGCAAGGAAGAAAGTCCTGGTGACCCACTTCCATTAAGATGACATACAAGACATGACACAGACCACAAAGAAAATGTGTTACATCTTATTTTGACGAGTAGTGACTCGTAGAGTCTTAAAGGCTTGTGAACTACTGGTCTCTCTCCATCCTGAGCAAAGAGGAGTGATGAAAATGCAAGGTGCGTGTAAATAATTAGTCCAGTGAACCAATGGGCCATGTGACCATCAGCCTCCATGATCCTGAGACCAGAAGAACTAGGTGGTGCCCGGCTACTCCCTATCAACCACTCTGAAAGCAGTCACATCGCAGAAGGTTCTGGATGGACTGGGAGACAAATGTGGAACAAAACCCACAATTCTTATTTCACAAAAGGTTTGCTGGTCAGAGGCTGGGTGTCACGCCCAAGACATGACCGTCAGTCACCCTCCGGGCCTGGAACTGAACTGCCGGCAATGGCTCAGTGCTCAGTCAAATCATCAGCAGGCCTGTCGGGGAGCAATAACAGGGAGGGAATGCACTCCTCAGAGCAGACAGCCATTTGAGAGCAAAAGAGCAGCAGCTGCCCAAGAACAAAGTTCAAAGGGCAGGAATGGTTAACAAAGAGGAAGAACAGTCAAGGGGCAGAGGGGGGAGGGGGGATTACTTGCAAGGTTTGCTACGGTATCTATTTCATGAAACATCGTTTAATGGGAAAAGGATCTGTTCTGTAAGCCTTCGCTCAATGAACAATAAAAGGCTTTTAAAACAAAAGATCACAGCCAAAAGTCTGACAGAGCGGCTCTGTTCTGTAACACCCGGGGCCCAGCATTTGGGAGGCCAAGGAGGCTGAGGGTTGGGATACACTGCTTGCAGGCCAGCAGGTGAGCTTGCTGGGAAGTTCAGAAGGATGAGAATTTAGGAGTATTCCCTAAACTACCGGTGGCAGAGGAGTTTGGGGTGCTTCAAGTCAGAAGAGGAACTCAAGACGGAGTCTGGGAGCCCCCCAGCTGGCAGAGACTGGAGGTCTGCGCAGGACAGAGCCGCCGTGCCCAGCCCCAGGCCTTTGTACCTCCTCAAGGTAGACGTCCTCATTCCAGTTGCCCATCCGGACTCGTGGGCCATACAAGTTCTGCGCCATAGTCGGCTGCGCTCCTGCAAAGAGGACTCCCAGCGACAGCCTTTGCGTTAGTGAGCGTCGCCATGACGACACCCCCCACCCCCACCCCTTCTGGATTGGTCAAGGTCCGGGACTACTGGCCAATGAGTATGCTAGCTCTGTATGGCGCTGGGGGAAGTCTGCGCCCACCCATTCTCCTAAATTTATGCTTGGTTAAGTATTTCAAACCTGGCAAAGAAAACCAGGCACGCAGACATCATTATACTAAGTGCGGGGTCGAGAATGGGATTTTTTTTAATAGACTCAAAACAAAATAAATGCTGTAAAAACACACAGCTCCTTTATTTAAAGCTAAGCTGTTAGGAAAGGTCTGCGTTTAGAACCCATCAATCATCCAGTCCCGGAGAAAACTCTGCTTCTGTAAAAATCTACAGCCTTGAAACCCCTGCGCTGCGCTGTTATGCTGTGCTGTAGGTGTCTTGGTGGCGTAGTGGTTATGTGTTGGGCTGCTACCGCAAGGTAAGAAGTTCAAACCACCAGCCTCTCCGCAGGAGAAAGACAGATTTCTACTCCCGTTAAGATGTACAGTCTCAGAAACTCACAGGGGCAGGTCTACCCTTCCCTGGAGAGTCGGCATCCTTTTTTTAAAGGGTCACGAAGGTTGGATCGCCAATGGGTTTGGGTTTGGGGGTCTTCAGTACCAAAGCAGCTGAGAGGAGCTTTAACCTGGACGCACAGCTGCCTGCAACCTGTTGTTGGCAGCAGCGGCCGCAACCACATCAATGGACTGAGCGTCCATTCCAGGTCAAGGCGACCTCGGGGTCAAAGCGGAACTGGGCTCCCTACGGTTTTCAGGTCGCCAGGCCTTTTTTCTGCAGCCCCTCTGGGTGGACCTAAGCTGCCAGCCTTTCCGTGTGCAGCCCAGCCATTTGACCCTAATCCTAAAAAGAAACATGCTCCGTACAGAAGTACAGACACCAAGGCACCATAGAAGAAGGAAGGAGGGACGTTCCTCCAAATTTCCCATTCTCAGAAGTAAGAAATGCACCCGGTTAGTATATTTCTATTTAAGCATTTCTGAGATCGTTTATCTTTCAAAAAAATCATCTTCTGTGTTTGAGGTGAAATTTTACTCTGTGGGAGGGGGTGGAGAGGAGGGCATGGCTGCCATTTGTTCAATTCTGACTCCCAAGGACCACTACATAGGGTTTCTGAGGCTTTGGAAATCTTTACAGATGCTGATAACCCCATCATTCTCCCACAGAGAGGTAGGTGGGTTTGAACCTCTGACCTCGAGGATAGCAGCCCAACACAAACAGAGCCACCAGCCAGTTAGGGCCCCATTTAATGATGTTTATGAAATTGCCCCACGATGTTGGCTCCTGTTTTCATGCTCTGTTTGCTCTGTTTCTGCTGCTCCGGCCGCCCTTCTCCTGCCTTCTTCTCTGCTTCCCGAAAATGTGAACCGTTTGGTCTCCGACGTTGATTGTTTAAGGAAGCAAGTCCTCGTCGTGGGTGATAATATTTACTTTATTATTTTTATTTTGTGTACAATGTTTATTATTGTGGTATGATGTTTTATCGTGTTTATTTCATTCGCCAGTCTCTAATCTGGCTGAAAGGTGACCTCTGGCAATGGTTTCCGTTCCAAGTTGAATGGCGTTTGGGGGCAATGGTCTCAGAGGCACTTCTAGCTTTTATGGGGCCCCTAAGTCTGGTCCTACTTAGGGACTTGAATTTTCGTCGACGTTTTTCTCCCATTCTATCCCAGATCTTCTTCTGTGTGCCCGGTCAGGAAGGTGGGGTGGTGCTCAGGCACCATCTCATTCTTCTGGCCTCAGGCTGAACGAGGCCACGGCTGCAGTCCAACCAAACCAAACTTATTGTCATCCAGTCAGTGCTGGCTCATAGCGACCCTGTGTTGTTGTTCCTGGGTGCCATCAAGTCGGCTCCGACCCATAGCCACCCTACGCACACCGGTGAAACTCTGCACGGCCCTGCTCCATCCTCACAAGTGTTCCTGGGCCTGCGCCCATTGCTGCAGCCACCGTGTCCATCCATCTCATAGAGAGTCTTCACCTCCTTTACCAAGCGAGATGTCCTTCTCCGGGAACTGGTATTTACAAAGTATGTAAGACAACGTCTTTTTGAGAATGATGTACAAATGCGCTTTACACAATTGATGTGTGTATGGATTGCGATAACAGTTGTATGAGCCTCTAATAAAATGTTTAAAATAAAAAAAAGACAACATCTTGCCATCCTTAGCTCTAAGGAGCACTCTGGCCTTACTTCTTCCAACACGGAGCTAGATCTAGATCTATACAGAAGTTTAAGACACCATCTTTCTCCCACGAAGGACTGACTTTGCAGGCAGCAGCCCCACACATAACCATGACGCCCCAGGGCTCCTTGTAGTTCTACCCGTCGGGCTGTTGTGAGTCCTGTGGACCTGTTTCTTCTTGGATGCATCGGTTACTTTCAGTCTCTCGCTCTGGCAGAAAGCCATCATTGTGTCTCAGATGGCTGCTCTAAAGGTCTTAAGACAGCAGACACTACTCACCAAATTAGGATGTCGAACATGATCTTTGTGGACTATGTTATGCCAATTGACTGAGCTGTCCCAAGAGACAGTGGTTCTAAGGCTTTAAAGTTTAGGATGTCTTCAGAACCGCGCCCCTATGTCTTTATGACATATACGAATATAGTGTATATACAGCACCCTAAAACACGTATACACCCGTGCCTGCACAGAGTATTCCATGACTTTACAAGCTTTATGGCACTTCGCCTCCTTCCAAATCAAAGAAAACGGTTGAGACTTGTAAGAACCAGTGATAAAACTAGACGGTGCTGTAGTCAGCAGATTGTTAACATGAGCAGTGTCTATAGGATTGCTAAGGAGCCTGGTGGCACTGTGGACTCACATTAGGCTGCTAAGCAAAGGTCAATGGGTCCAGCCCACAAGCTGCTTCGAGAGAGAAAGATGAAGCTGCTCCACAAAGATGTGAATTCTAGGAAACGCTCAGGCACAGTTCCACTCTGCCCTACACAGGGTCACTCTGAACTGGAGTTGACTCGATGATAGTAGTGGTAGGATTAACAGAGGCAGGGTGCTGACTGAAATCGGTCTGCAGCCTGCCTGTATTTAGTGTCTAGCCCTGGTGGTAGAAGGGGTTACGAGTTGGGCTGCTAACTATAAGGTCAGCAGTTCGAAACCACCAGTCCATTCCAAGGAAAAAAGTTGGGGCTTTCTGCTCCCCTAAAGAATTCCAGTCTCAGAAACCCACAAGGGCAGTTCTGCCCTGTCCCATAGAGTTCCTATAAGTCAGAATCAACGCGACAGCAGTGAGCTTCTTTCAAAAGACAAGGTGGACTCTGAGCACCTAGAACCAGCCAACCCTTCAGCAAGCTCACTCTAAAGATCTGTTCATTCCCTGGGGAGGCGGGGCGCACAGGGCGGGTGATGAATTACTTTAAGGAAGATTGTAGTAAGGGCAATTCAAGAGAATGAAAAGCCATGGGTGCTTGAGGAGGGAATTCACCTCTGCCTCAGTGGATCTGGGGAATGAGCACCGGGGGACATTCTGGAGCTAACTTTGGAGCCAGACTTGGAAGGGTTTGAACTTGAAACGATGCTGGAAAGAGCCTGTAGGCTGCAGCGTGAGCTAAAAAAACAATACTAATAAAATAAAAAGGAACATTCCCCAGATATGTTGGGGTTCACAGATACTGTTCATGCATTGCCATATGATAAAACCCTCCCAAAGGACAAAGGGTGAAAATATGACAGGTCACATATGACACCCCTACTGGGGTTGATAAAGTAAGAAACCGAGAGAGACTCCAGGAAGTTAGCAACCAGTCTAGATTCAAAGGGCTGACATGGCTCAACCCAGATTTTCTGACTCCAAAGTCCATGCCCCTCCCCCACCCGTTAAGTGCTTCCATATTCCCCTAAAACTCGGGACTAAAGCAAGACAACTTTGGTCTCTATTGTTGTTTAATAAGATTCTAATGCTTCAGACATGTGTAAGTCAAAAAAATATATCATGAATACAAATTGGAAAAAGATGGAAATGCTTTCTTGGGAGCTGAGACAAGCACTGTGCTTTGAAGAAGCCTAATCCAATCCTGGAAACTCAATTGAGGAATGAAAACTGCAAAGGTTGAAGTCGAAAAAAATCATAAACTAATGTGAATGAAAACATTGGGAAGGACGAAAAATGTTTTGAATCGCAGCAATGTTATTACATTCTTAGGAAACCCAATCGAATCCCTAAAAATAAATTGAGATAATAAAATCGTTTAAAGGATCGGGTATCATAGAAAAATTAAAACTTAGTTGTCGCTATTCATGTTGTGTAATAAGAGCCCCAGTGGCGCTGTTGGGTAAGCGTTGGACTGTTCAAACCCACTCACCAGGAGAAAGACGGTTGTTACCACTGAATCCACTCTATGGCAGTGGGTTTGGGGTTATACTGTGTGGTGAGTAATGTTTCATGTCAGTTTGGCCAGACTGTGATTCTCGGGGAGGGGGCGGGGGAGGGGGGTTGGCAGACGGGCTGACCTTCCAGTTTGTGATCTGATATGAGCAGCCAATCAGTTGTAAAGGGAGTTTCCTGACTCCAATATGTAAATGGTCTTGGGAACCTCACTCTGCTTCAGGAACCTGTATTCTTGTCGCTTGGCCTTGGGTTCTTGGGATGTAAGTCTGCAGAAGTCTGCATAGAGTGAGAGGGAAATGCAAAACAAAACTCCAAATCATATTTTTAAAAGACTAGGTTCACAGGTTCCATCGCAACGGTTGGAACCCCCAGGACGGTGGCCCTTAGTCACCCTCTGTGCCTGGAACTGAATTCACTCCTTCCTGTGGCTGCTGTCAGCCACCCAACACTCACAGATGCCGACTCATAGCGACCCTATAGGACAGGGTAGAACTGCTCCTGTGGGTTTCCAAGACTGTAACTCTTCACAGGAGTGAAAATCTTCATTTCTCCCTAGGTGGTGGTTTTGAACTGCTGACTCTGCAATTAGCAGGCCTATGGGTAA